GCCCCGGGGGGCGGGGACCCGCGCTGCACGCGCCGCCGGCTCGCGGAAGCCGGCGCCCAGCCTGGGTCGGGCAGCCCTCCTCCCTCGGATCGTGCCGCATCCCCCACCTCCTCCCTCAGACCCGGGGTCCAGGCCCCCCACCCCTCCTCCCTTGGACTCAGGAGTCCTGAGATTCCTATGGAGTCTTTTGCTAATTCAGTGTCAATCCCGGGGCAGATTCCCACCCTCGTTCCCATCTCCACTTTCCCAAGAGCTCCCGCCAGACATTAACCAGCTGGGCTTGGGCAGTGATAAGGCGGCCCGCGGCCCAGAGACCGTGGATGAGGGACTCTCCCAGAGTCCTCTCTCCTGGAATTTCCTGACTGGGGACTGAGTTGACAGTCTTGTCCTGAGCTCAGATAAGAGAAACCCAAGGTGTTACGCGACTCAGACACACGGTGGTGCTTAAGGACAGGATAGGCTGTCTAGGGAATCCGTGAACAAATAGAGAAAGAAGACACAGAAGCAGAGAAATGGAACACAGACCAAGAGAGAAAAAGGGATAAAGACCTAGGGAGAAGGAAAGGGACAGAAACCCAGAGTGGAGGTTGGGCGCATACACCATAAGAGGGAACTGAAGCTGAGGGTGGTGGCACACACCTGTAATCCCAGCACTTGGGAGGCTGAGATAAAAGGATTGCCAGGAGTTCAAGGTCAGCCTGGGCTACATATGGAGACCCTGTCTCCAAAAACCAAAAGGGGGGAGAATTGAACCTCAGCAGGGGAGACAATGCCTCAGAGAGACCCTGAAAAAGACAGGAGACTGCCTAGGGAGTCCTGGGGCAGCTCCATGCCTGGCAGGGCCCTTCACCCTGCCACCTCGGCCCTGAGACTGAGCTCCCCTCCTCCTGAGCTATTTTTAGCAGGAAAGCTGACACTGGCCTTGAGGGTCAATGGGTACCCCCTCCACCCCTGCCTAAATATAGCATGGTGAGGTGGTAGGAAGGGTGTCCCCGGATTAGGGTGTTCCCCTATCCTCAGCATCCCAGCCAAGGCTGCACAGAAGGCAACTCCAGTTGTTTACAGGAGGTGGGGAAAGCCAACTTCCCAGGCATGGGTGTCCCTTCCATTACCTCTCTGATCTCTTCAGTCTTCCAACTAGGCACACAGCCCGCTCCCAAGCAAGAGGATTCTGTGACCTCTTGTCCCCTAAAGATGACAGGGATGAGCGTTCAAAGGAGAGGAACTGGGCAACTGTGTCTGTGTCCTCTTCTGAGCCTCTGTCCATTCCCCTAATCTCTGCCCTCCTCTCTCACCCTTGGTTCCTCTCTCTCTCCTGCCTTCTTGGGTTTGGCTCTCTGTCTGGCTCCCACTACACTTCTGTGGGTTTGTGTGTTGTTGCAGTCTGCACCCCAAGATGCCACCTTGTCTTTGGCCCTGTAAGAGAGATAGATGGCTTGACTCCCAATGTGGCTTTTCTCCATGTCAGAAAGAAATGACCTGGGGCTGGGGAGATGGCTCAGTGGAATAAGCACGTCCCTGGAAAGTGCAAGGGCCTGAGTTCAATCCCAGGTTCCACCAAAGAAAGAAAGAAATGAGTTGTTAAAGGTTGGATTATTTTCAACCACTATTGAACTCTTCCCACAATCTGTAGGTCCTTTCTCGTTGTATTAAAAAGAGGGCTGAGGGCTGGGGAGGTAGCTCAGCAGTCTAAGCACCTGCCTGGCATAGGGAAGGACCCTGGTTTGATCCTTGGTACCACATGCCATACCACTTCAGAACCCGGGGGGCGCCATGCCTACCACCAAAACCAGGCAGCCAGGTGGTGCATGCCTGTCATCTCAGCGCTGGGAAGGCTGAGATAGGAGGATCACTAGCCTGAGCTATGTAGCGAGACCCTGCATCAAATACATACATACATACATACATACATACATACATACAAGATTTTTTTAAAAGGGAGCTGAATGACACTTGGGGTCTCCAAACTGAATTCAGTCACCATATTTTGCTCACTGGGGCCCAGTGAGAGATGTGTCTGCTCTTCACACACCCCCATCTTTCACTCGGGGGCCTCTGAGGAAGGCTTTCTATGACCACATTGGGAGGGGAGCTTAAAATAATAATAATACCAGCACCACACTGTAAACCACTGGACAGGTTTTAATAAGTTAATACAAGTGCCTTGAATGACGTCTGGCACATAGGAAGCCCTGTATGTGTTAGTGATTATAACCTCCTCCTCTTCTAAATGCTTTTTACATCTGAAAGACTTTGAAATGTTTGGCTTTGTGACCTTGGGTGACACTGTTCCGTCCCCTCCCAGTGTCGGTTGGTTTCCTGTCTGTAACGCAGGAGGCTGCGGGCCTAGGCTATGTGCACCCCTAGTCTGTGGGGACTGGGGTCAGGCAGCCTGCCACAAGTCTGGCCCGTGACTGCTGTGTGACTTTGGCAAGCCAAGGCCCTGCTGAGACTCTGGTTTCTTTCCCGAAGACACTGAGAACCCAAGGCCCAAGGTGATCAGCTGTGCTGGTTTAGTATCCTTTTGTGATTCTGAGGATAGGCTGGGGACACATTCTTTCTGCCATTTTCCTTTTTAGTTCTCTTTTCTCTGGAGCTCTGTGGCTTCTCTGGCTCCAACTCTCTAGTCTCTCTGGGTGCCCGCCATCCCCCTGGGCCTCCATCTCCAGCCCTTGATCTCTATCTCCCTCTCTCTGAATCTCAGCATCCCATTCGGAGTCTCTGACTCCTCTCCCTGGTTCTCTTCCTCCCTCCTTCCAGGTCCCTGTCCCTTTCTCAGGATCTCTTCTGGTTTTTATCTAGATCTCTGTCCCTCTTTTTTTCTGAGTCTGTGTCTCTCCTCCTCCTTGTGCTTCTGTCTTCCATCATGTCTGGAGGTGAGACAAACACTTTTCTCCTCTCACTTTTCTGGCCTCCATGTGTCTATGTCCTTGCTAAATCCCTGGGGAGGCCAGGTGAGTGAGGGGGCTCTGAGTGGCAGAACAAAGCACATGTAGGGCAACAGGAAGGAGCACCCTCCTCCTAGTCCCTCAGAGCCCCTGGGTGAATCCAGCCCACCTTTGCAGTAGCAGCACCCACATCCACACCACTTGTGACTCTTGTCCAGAGCTGTGATCTTGGGTCCTGGTGCTTCTCCCAACTGTATAGACCTCAACCCAACATGCCTATGTGATCAGCAATGGTGATCAGCATAGCCCTATAACCCAACAGTCCTAAGACCTGACTGAACTGACTTTAAAAGATTCACATGCTTCTAGATCTCAGCACAACTCAACTCAACTCCCCGTGGCCCTGAAAAATTACCAGTTACAGAAGCCTACACGACACAACCTAATAGCTCCTAAAAGATGAACCCAGTCATACATTTCAACCCAACTTCACCTATCTTGACCCAGAAAGCTCCAATTCTGTTACTTGACTCTGTATTCCTACATGACTCACAAGTTCACAGAACCTAAAATAACATAACCCTAGAAAAAACACAAAGCCACACAATTGTCCACACATCTCAGTGACACCATGGGTGGCCACACAGTCTCAATAATGCCCTTAAGTGACCACTGTACTTGACCCAATATGGCCCTAGGAGAGTCAAAGGCACAGACTTTGCATAATGCAGTTGGACAAGACTCACCCAGATTCATCACCCCAACATGACCTAGGAAACTCCCAACTGGATGTGACCCAAACCTAGCTCAACACCACCCCAAAAAGCCCAGAAGCTCGGTACAATGCAATGCAATACAAATCAACAGGGCCACCCCTCAACTCAACACAAACCACTGGCACTCATTGCTCCTTCAGGAGGTACCCATAGCAGCTACAAACCCAACAAAACTCAGCACTGGTTACCACTTAGCCTAGTTCTCCCTAACCCCATCCCATCCTCTGCTTCCCCTCCCCCCGCACCCCCCTCCAGGGAGGTATGAGGTCCAGCAGACCTCAACTGCCTCTCACACCTCGGTGACCAAGTGTTTCCCAGGGGGCACCCAGAGTGGAGGTGGCAGCTCAGGCACCTCTCCATCCATCAGCCCCCCATTGGCTTTGCCCTCTTGGTTGATGCAGGGCTGTGTGTCCACGTGGCTATACATCCCGGCCTCCTCGCCCTCTGTCTCCCGGTGGTAAAAGTAGCTGAAGTTGGAGACAATGACTGGCACAGGCAGGGAAATGGTCAGCACGCCAGCAATGGCACACAGAGAGCCCACTATCTTGCCACCCACAGTGACGGGTGCCATGTCTCCATAGCCAACTGTGGTCATGGTGACTACAGCCCACCAGAAGGATTCAGGGATGCTGGTGAAATGAGACTCCACAGAGTCAACTTCAGCAAAGTAGACTGCACTGGAAAAGAGGACTACCCCGATGAAGAGGAAGAAGATGAGGAGGCCCAGCTCACGCATGGAGGCCCGAAGCGTCTGGCCCAGAATCTGCAGGCCTTTTGAGTGCCGGGAGAGCTTGAAGATGCGGAAGACACGCACCAACCGGATGACCCGCAGGATAGCCAGGGACATGGCTGGCTGACCCACACCTCGCTGCCGGGCCAGCTCAGTGCCCAGGGCCACAAAGTAGGGCAGGATGGCCACGAAATCGATGAGGTTCATCACGTTCTTGAAGAAGATGGCCTTGCTTGGGCAGGCCAGCAGGCGCACCAGCAGTTCGAAGGAGAACCAGCAGATGCACAACGTCTCCACCACAAAGAACGGGTCGTTGAAGGGCTGGCGGGGTGGTGGTCCAGGCACAGGGCTGGAGCCATTCAGCCGGGCAGGGAACTGCAGGGAAGAAAGGGCTCAGCCTTGCTCCACAGCAGAGAGGCCGGTCCCCAAGGCCCCAGTGAGCTGGCTGTCCTCACTCCCGGGACCCGGGCCACTGTCCTGATCCTGGACAGCTGCCTTTCTGGTCTCCTGAGCTGAGGATGCTGGGAAGGCAGCACTTACCCTTTCCTCAACAGCAACTCTTGACCTGATGCTTGAGTAGTGTGGAACCTGTTCTCTCCCAAATCTCACTCCTCAGAAATGTTTATTGTTTTATCTTTTTGAGGCAGGGTCTCACCATGCAGTTCAGGCTGGCCTTGAGCTCACTTTGTAGCCCTGGCCAGTTCGAACTTGCAATGATCCTCCTCCTGCTTCATCCTCCTGAGTGCTGGTATTACAAGCATGTGCCATCAAGCCCAACTGGATCCCCAGAACTGATTTTTCAAGTGGGGAAGGTCCGCTCTGGTTCCGCCCCCAGTCCTGCCTTCCTTCCTTCCTGACCCCAGCCCAGACTTAGTGGTTTAAGATCGCAGGCCCTTCTGCTCCCCGTCTCCACAGCCTGACTTTCTTTGTGATTGATTCCTCCTTTCGAGCCCTCAGTTCTTAGCCTGCCCAGCTCCAGCTCCCTCTCTTTAAGGCCTGCTAGCGGCCCTCCAGCCCATCCTTCCCAGCTGGGTCTCTGCCAGCTGCACAGACCCCGAGTGACTACATTGTCTTTCACACCACAGTTTATGTCCCCAAGGGCCCTGCGCTCTGCGGGCGAGTTCTCATCTCTCCCAACCTCGCCGTCACACAGGGCCAGCCCTCAGGGTGGGAAAGCCCTCAGACACAGCTTCCAGCCCAACTTTAGTATTAAAGACCCAGGTCAGGCTGGGTGTCTGGGGTTAGCCACGCCTCGGGGCCCCTCGCCCCGCCTCCTGATTGGCCAGACCCGCTCTCGGACACTGCCCGTCTCCTCCCAAGCCCCGCCCCTCCCTTGGCCCCGCCCCTCACCGAGCCCGCGGCGGCCACTGCAGCAAGCCCTGGGTCGTCTCGGTCGTCGCGGAAGTCCGGCAGCGTCTCGAGGCAGAAGACGACAATGGAGACGAGGATGACTAGCACGGAGACAACGGCGAGCACGCGCGCGGCCTGCGAGCTCTCGGGGAACTCGAAGAGCAGCCAGAGCTGGCGCGCGAAGGCGCGGCGGGGCAGCGGGCGTTCGGCCGGCACCGGGCAGCCCTCGTCCTCGCGCAGGCGCGCCATGGCCGCGGCGCCCAGCCCGTAGAAGGCCACCTCCTCCAGGAAGACGTCGAGCGGCACGTGCGCCGGCCGCCGCAGCCGCCCGCCCGACTGGTAGTAGTAGAGCACGGCGTCGAAGCTGGGCCGGTGCCGGTCGAAGAAGTACTCGCGCCGCGCGCCGTCGTAGAAGCGGCCGCGGCGCGCCGGGTCCCCGAGCAGCGTGTCCGGGAAGCGGCCCAGCGTGCGCGCCCGCGTCTCGAAGCGCAGCCCGGCCACGTTGAGCACCAGCCGCTCGCAGCAGCCGCACGGCGGCTCCATGGCGCGCGCTGCTGGGACCCG